GGCAGGGGGTGGGAAGGGACAGACTGGGATTTCAAAATGTAGAACAGATAAACAAGATTGTACTGTGTAGCACAGGGAAATACTTACAGGATCTTGCAGTGGCTCACAGCGAAAGAGAGCGTGACAATGAATGTATGTATGTTCATGTATAACTGAAAAATTGTGCTTTACACTGGAATTTGACACAATATTGTAAAATGACTATAACTCAATAAAAAATGTTAAAAAAATTAAAATTAAAAAATAAATATAATATAAATTAGTGAGTTTGCCACTTCTTAGATAATATAAGAGCTTTAAAATAATATAACCCATAAATTCCTCTTTAAAATCATATCTTGTGTTTGTCATGTTTTTATGGTTTAAAACCATGTGATATGAATATTATGTTTTACATACCTAATATTCATTCAGATTTGCTCACAACTTTTTAAATGAACTGTCTTATTGAAGTATATAAACTACATTCTGTGAAGTACAGAAATCAAAATTGTGCAGACCAGGAATCATTCCAAGGTGAACACACTTGTGTAACCATCACTTAGGTCAAGAAGTAAGATATTATTTGCAACTTAGAAGCCCTGATAGTGTTCCTACCCTGCCCCTATCCACACACCCCTCGCCAAAGTTAATCATGCTCCTGAATTTAATTCTCTCATAGATAAGATATCCTAATTGGTTTTGCCTTTATATAAATGGAATTAGACTTAAGTGTGTTTTTGTGTCTGACTGTCTCAGTCATCATTATGTTTGTAAGATTTGTGTGGTGATAAGCAACAGATATTTTCCAGTGTGGAGTCATTAGGAATAACACTACTATGAATATTCTTATCCATGTCATTTTATGTATGTATGTAGGCATTTCTGTCAGAGAAATTGGTAGATCATGCATATGTACCTGATGACCTTTTGTACCTACAGTCAAACAGTTTCCCAAAGTGGTTATTACCATTTTAATACATCCCTGCCAATATGTGGTGTTGTCAGTCTTTATTAATTTTAGCCATTCTCACGTGCATGTATAATGGTAGCTCACTGTGGTTTTAATTTGCATTTCCTTAATAACCAGTGTGATTGAGAGTCTTCTCTTATGATAACTGATCACGTGGCTATTCTGTTTTGCGAAAGGTCTGTTTAAGACTTTGGCCTTCCTTCCTCTTGCAGTGTGTCTGAATTTTTCTTAATGATTTGTAAGAATTCTTTATATAGCCTAGATACAATATCTTTGTTGATTATGTGTTTTAGAAATAGCTCCCACAATTCTACTGCTTTTCTTTTCACTATCTTAATGATATCTTTTGTTCAACCAATGTTCCTAATTTAATGAGGTTCTATTTATCTCTTTTTCTTTATAGTTAGTATATTCTGTGTCCTGTTTACAAAATCTTTACTTATGCTAAGGTAATAAACATATTCTTCTATTTTCCTTCTAGAAACTTAACTGTTTACCATTTTTACTGAGATCTACAATCCACATGGAATTGTTTCTAGTGGCCAAGTTTCTTTTTTTCTCTGTGGATATCTAACTGATGAAGCACTATTTATTGAAAATACTATCCTTTTTCTTTTATTCTGTTTTGTCACTTTTCTCATAAATTAAGTAACCGTGTATGACTAGGTCTATTTCTGGACTCTTTATTTTGTTATTTTAGTTCATTTATTTTTGCCTCAATATTACACTTTCCCGATTACTGTGGTTTTACAGTAAATCTTAACATCCAGGAATATAAATCCTACAACTTTATTCTCCAGGATTATCTTGACTGTTCTTTGCCCATTTATGTTTAGAAATCTTTGAGTTAGCTTGTCAATTTCCACAAAAAACACATGGGATTTTGATAGTGATAACACTGAATCTGCGAATCAGTTTGGAGAGTACTGGCATCATGTAGAAGATAGAGCCCTTCATTTGTTTAGTTTTTCTTTAATTTCTCTCAATAGTATTCTTTTTTTTTTTTTACATTTTTATTGATTCATAATCATTTTACAGTGTTGTGTCAAATTTCAATAGTATTCTTTATTGGCTTTCCACATAGAATTCATATCTTTCTTGAATCTATTCCAAATTATTTGATTTTTTTATTCCATTGTAAATGTGTTTTTTCTTTTACCTTTCTTTTTTTTCTTTTGTAGAATTTTTTTGTGCACTTATTTAAATAATTTTTCTTAAAAAGGGAGAAAATAGCTTAAGTATTCCTAATAACTCTTTTCTTTACTGAGATATGATTGATGTATAACATCGTGTAAGTTTGAGGTGTACAGTGTGTTGATTTGATACACTTATGAACTGTAAAATGACTGTCATGGCAGTGTTTGCTAATACCTCCATCATACTCCATAGATTCTTCTGGTGAGAGCATTCAAGATCTACTCTCTTAGCGACTTTCAAATATATGATATTAACTCTAGTCACGATCTTGTACATTAGATCCCCAGAACTTGTAACTGTAAGTTTGTACCCTTAACCAACATCTCTTCACTTCCGCCTACCCACCCTCAGCCCCTGGCAACCACTCTTCTCTCTGTCTCTAGTGTATGGTCTAACTTCATTTTCTGTTGACTTTTGATCTGTATCCAGAAAAGCTGATGAACTTTCTTATTAATTCTAATAATTTATTTGTAGATTCTTCTTAATTTTCTACAAATACGTGCAGGTGGGAGCTAATTCCTACTTGCCAGGGGTTTTGTGAGGTTATGAAGGATAATGACGATGATTGCTAACGATTAATGAGCACCTACTATGTTTCAAGAGTTTTTGTTCTTTCCAAAGAACAACTTTCAAAAGTGAACTGAGATGTAAACTGCAGTGTTAGATTGTCTTCAGCTCTTTAGAAAGTTAAATGTAGTCAGAAGACCAAGAAGCTCTGGAGGATGAGTTGCTAGCCCAGCCTCTATTTATGATAGAAATGGATGTTTTAATTGAAGAAAAATACGAAACGCTTCACGACTTTGCATGTTAACCTTGCACAGGGGCCATGCTAATCTTCTCTGGATCATTCCATTTTTAGTATACATGCTGCCAAAGCCAGCACTGTGATGGGGATGAATTTAGAGAAGCAGGGTCTGTCCAAGATGGAGAAACCAGCAGCTGTTTGGACTTTGCACAAAATTTCAAGGTATTTGTGAGTACTGTCTGTTCCCATAAGCACTTAGACAACCTGTGGGAAGAACACCATGGCAGCGTGGTTCTATTTGCCTGGATGCATACTTGAATATCATGTCTCCTTTTGAGCTCAGGAGGGGTTCTCAGGAGAAAAAAGAATGTGCAAAGGACAGCTCAAGCCTCTTTCAACACATTGCTAGATTTTGGAGGAGCTGCTAGATCTGATGTAGACCAAGAGGAAGTTGTGGATGAAAGAGCCAGGCAGGATGTGGGATCATTGTTGAATCTGATCCAGGAAATCTTGGACTTTGATCAAGCTCGGCAGATAAAATGCTTTAATAGTAAATTGTTCCTGTACAGTATCTGTTTCTGTGAGAAACTGGGTTGTGATGTGCCTTGGAGTGCAGGCAAGTGAACTGCAAAGCCTGTCTGAAGAACTTTTTTGGAATCCAGATCAGAGATGGTCAAGTTCAATAATGCCTCAGCTACTCAGAACTCAACTGCCCCTTGGTGGCCACTCCTAGCCAGGTCAAATGACTAGTGGAAGCAAAGCAAGCTGGTCATGACCAGCTTCTCCTCCAGTCCACCTTGGACCCAAAGCAGATGTGATGCCCTGCCCTTCCCATGCTGCCAGCTGCCTAGGATGCAGGAGCCTGCATCTGCTCCAGCTACAATTTTTACCTTCTGTACTTTATGCAAATTGACCTACCATGGGGTCTTTTCATGAAGGGTGACTGCAGGCTTATAAAATGAATACTTGCAAGCAGATAAGACCAATAAAAGATTCTGGGAACAAAGGTATGGTAAGAGGGTGATTCTGAAGGCACTGGAAGAGATGGAAAGTATGGAGTGGCTGCCATGTTGTGGAACTCCCATAGAGAAATTGGATGGATGTGACAAGATGACATGTACTGCCCATGTGCGATACGTCTGCTGGATTGGCTTCTCTTTCTAGAGCAAATTCTTATAAAACATTTCACTGATCCTGACATATAACATTACCTTGGGTATGGTTAGCTTCTTTCAGTAGAGGGCAATGCCCAGAGACAGACTCTGCTATGAGTTTCTGATATTATATCATCCTCACATTTTGAGATATATCCAAATCACTCCTTGTATATTTTTAACACATGATTAAATTTGGTTATCTACAATTTTATTTGGAATTTTGGCATATACATACAGAAAGATATGGTCTATTGTTTTCTGTTCTTTATTGTTCTTAGCTGGTTTTGAAATCAACATAATATTAACCTCCTAAAATCATCTAAGCACCTTTTTTTTTTTCCGTCTGAGCAACTTTTACATTTCCTCTATTTTCTGGAACAACTCAAGTAAGACAGAAATTAATTGTTCCCTCAAGGTTTGCGAGATCTGAGGTGACCATATGATTTATCCATAATTAATGTAAACAGGACACTTTCAGGAATAAAGGAGAGCATTATTAAAAATTATGCCATGGCAAGAGAGTGTGAACAAAGACTCTTCTAAGCAAAACAAACTAGAACTCAGTGTTAACACTTTATGAGCGTGGGACCTGGTTGGAGGAGAGGTCTCTTAGTGCCGTGTCGGGATCTTCCTGCTTGGTTGATCTATTCAGGTTTGCATTACTTGCAGCACTGCTCTTGAAGGATTGTTTTTCTTTGAAGTATTTTCAGATTGATTATGCATATTTGCTCATCATAGAGCAAAGTGTTCCATAAAGCTGGCATGCCCAAAGCACTGTGTGTGACTTTTATATCCTTTCAATCTCTTTCAGTCTATCACAGTCCCCACTTTGTCACACACTGACTTGTTGAAGACACTGGGCCAGTTGTTGTTATGGTGACCCACTTATCTGCTTTTCTTTAGTTTGTTCACCAATATATCATGTAAATAGGAGGTTAGTTCTAAGGGTTTTACCGATTCAAGTTAATATTTTTGGCAAAAACACATCAGAGGTGAAGCTGTGTCCTTTAGATGACAACCCATCAGGAGTCATCTAGTATCTGGATGTTATTTAATGTTCAGATTCACAACTGAGTTAAAGTGATGACTATTCTTTTCATTGAGCTTCACTGAGAAACCACAGTACTGGTTTTCTCCTTTATATTCAGAGTATTCTGTATGATGCTACTTTTGCCTACACAAATGTCTGATTCCATGCTGATGATACACTTCATGGTTTTATCACAAATTCTAGTCCTTGACTGAGTCAATGAATTCTTTAGGATTTGCAAGACACAACTCTGGATTAGAACTTCCCCTTATGAACTAGAGCTATTTGGTTGCTAGAAATACAGCTCCTACTAGAGACACAAGATAAATACTTAATTCGTTCAAATGAGTTACCAGTTTCCAAAGTCAGTTTTTTCAGTGGTTGCTTCAAATGGTAATATATAAGTTTTTTTGGTTATCCATCTCTGAACATCATTACATAATCATGTCTTTTCACTGATTTGGTGTATTTCAGTCAGTTATATTTGGCTTTATTTTTGATGCTCAGAATTGTCATAACTTTAGATATTTCTTCCAGCTTGTTCCTATGTCCTTTTAAATGACTCCTTTACTTTTTTATGAAAGTAAAACTATAAATATTTATTAGTGTTTGAAATAAGTCTAAGCATTAGGTCTGATAAGTAGTGCAATTTCAAAATAGTGGTAGCATAAGTGATATCACAAAGTATATTTTTAACTGTTTTTTTGCTTTTGTTTTGGGGGAAGATAATTGGGTTTATTATTTATTTATTTATTTTTTAGTAGAGCTGCGGCGGATTGAACCTAGGACCTCGTGCATGCTAAACACGAGCTCTGACACTGAGCTATATCCTCCCGCCTTCAAGGTATATTTTTTAATATGGTATAAAATTATTTTTATTTCTATTGCTGATAAAGGCAAAGGGTAGCTAATACTAATGAATTTATTGAACAAATTTATAAATCAAGGAAATGTTCATATTTCAACTAGAGATTAGTGATAATAAAGACATTATTTCTCCATTTGTGTACATAGTCCTCAATTTATGAACATGTACTAGTGGGAAAAGCTTTGGTCTCAGAGTGAAAAACCCTTGGTATAGCAAGCTAGTGCTGCACATTCTTCTTTTTTCCAGTTTTATTTAGATATATTTGACATTTAACATATATTAGTTTAAGGTGTACAACAAAATGATTTGATATATACATATATTGAGAAATGATTACCACAATTAAGTTTAGTTAACATCCATCACCTCACATAATTGCAGTTTTTTTCTTGTGATGAGAATTTTTTTTATTTAATTTTTATTTTTTATTTTTGTATTTACATATTTTTGTCGAAGTATAGTCAGTTTACAATGTTGTGTCCATTTCTGGTGTGCAGCATAATGTTTCAGTCATACTTATACATACGTATATTCGTTTTCATATTCTTTTTCATTATAGGTTACTACAAGATACTGAGTATAGTTCCCTGTGCTATATGATATAAACTTGTTATCTGTTTTATATATAGTCATTAGTATCTGCAAATTTCGAACTTCCAATTTATCCCTTCCCATCCCCTTTATCCCTGGTAACCGTAAATTTGTTCTCTACGTCTGTGAGTCTGCTTCTGTTTTGTGAATATAACTAATTTAATTTTAAATTTAATATAAAGAATTGCAAACTAGACACTTAAGAATCAAAAAAGTTTTTAAAGAACACAGAGCAGTCACAGAGATAGCAGCTGCAGGAATCAGCTGCCACTCCCAGGGCTGGGACAGCAAGAAAGGAGACTGCAGTTACCAAAGCTTAGAAACTTGAAGGAAGAGATCTGCAGAGCTGAAACTCAAACCCCTGAGGAAAGAGCCGTCCTCAGCCAAAGCTGGTATCTCTGTGAAGCATAATAAGGCTGGCTCTGTAAATGAAGGAAATTACAAATTGGGTCCAGCAGCTGCTGAGGGAATGCCTCGCCACTGTTGGGGTGAAGAAGCCAGGCGAGGGTAATGCTGATCGTGACAGGAAATAGACAGGAAGCCCTGAGGAAACAAATGGGATGGAGCAAGTGTCCCTCTAGCAACCTCTACTGGCAGAGCTTAATGAAGTGACTGGCAAAGAAGAACTGTGGTTTGCAGAGCGCTAACCTTAGCAGCGCAAAGCAGAGTGTATCGAAGGTTGGATTTGAAGCTGAGAGACAAGAGGCAATAGCTTAAGAAGTGGCATAGATATCAGTGCCAGCCTTGATGCTGACACATGCCCAAATCTTCTATTACCCCACCGCTGCAGCAGCACCAATCTCTTAAATCTAATTTGGTAGAAAAGTGCCAGAGAGAGATGCTAATGTGAGATGAACATGGAAGTAAGTTCTCCCAAGATGCCTGAAATCAGGCTTCAGTTGCTTGCCGCCCTAAGACTAGTCTCCTAAAACAGGATCAGAGGTACTGCTGAGCGAGCCCTATATCATTTGAGTTTCAGGGACAATTCTCTGTGGAAGTCTTCCAGGACAAAGATCAGGATATGAAACTCCATGACTGCAGGGTACCAGGAGAAGAAGGTGGCTGATTCATGAAGAATGGAAAATCATTTTTGCAGCAAGGCTGAACTCGGACATTATTAACTGCCGAAGCAAGATAGCTTTTGGTTAGTGAAGTAGAGAGAGACAGAGGAAACTTACCTGAAACTGACCAAGCAGACAGACATGTCCTCACTAGATACCATTTGGGAGAGCTGGATACTGGCCAATACCCATAACAGAAGTGAGCTCTCCCTCCTAGTAAGGCAAACAGACAAGTGAAAACCATCTGTCCTTTTGTGTGAGACACAAATAATAATGGACATTTTTTTAAGACAAGAATTTAAAATAATAAATTGTCTTTGCCCACCTGTCAGCAAAGAGTTATGGAGCACTTCTCATGCATTCAGGCTCCTGCTAGGAGCAAAGAAGGTAAAGGGGTGGGAATCAAAGTTGAGGGAAAAAAAAAAAGACAG